TGTGTACAGGTGGGTGTGTGGTCTACTGTCTGGTTGTGTGTCTGTGTGTGTCCAGGTGGGTGTGTGGTTTCCCGTCTGGTTGTGTGTCTGTGTGAGTGCAGGTGGGTGTGTGGTCCCGTCTCTGGTTGTGTGTGTGCGTGTGGGTGTATGGTCTCCTGTCTCTGGTTGTGTGTCTGTGTGAGTGCAGGTGGGTGTGTGGTCCACTGTCTCTCGTTGTGTGTCTGTGTGTGTGCAGGTGGGTGTGTGGTCTCCTGTCTGTGACTGTGTGTCATGTCTGCGTGTGGTTGTGTGATCCCTGTGCCTGCTCTGTGTTTGTGTGTGTGCACCAGTGTGAGCTGTGTAGGTTGTGTGTGGTCCCCTGTGCCTGCTGCGTGTCTCTGTGTGTGCACCTGTGTGAGCTGTGTAGGTTGTGGTCTGTGACCATGATAGGTTGTGCTTGTGCTTTGCGGAGTTGTTTTGGGTGAGTGCCACTTTTGAGTGTTGCTCTAAGATGGCGTGCATGGGCAGTTGTTGGGAGACCACAGTGGGTGGTAGGTGCTGCTGTGATGGGGGTGTGACTGTAGTGGTGGGCAGGGGTGGGTCTGAGCTGTGTTCCATGATGTGCTCTCCCATGCAGCCTGCCCTGGTGACAGGGCCCCCTGTGCATGATGTGTGTGGCTGTTGCTGGCTGTTTCATGACCTGCACGCGTGACATGTGTGTTGTGGCTCCGTGTGCGTGCAGGAATGTCTGTGGCCCTGGGTCAGCTCTCAGCTGCGACATGAGGACAGCAGGGTGGTGTATGAAGTCAGTGCTGATTGCGTTGAGCTGAGTACAGTCAACTTCTTAATAACCAACCCGTGAGGGAGGAGATCTGTGACCCGGAGAAAGGAAACCTGTGCTAGAAAAGGAAAACCAATTACATTGAGCTCTGAAAGCTTCACGATTTGATATTTTTGGCTACCAATTTGCCTTGCCACTTCCTACTCACATGAATGTGTGGTTCTGAAGCCCCACTGCTCAGCAGGGCCTGGCAGGTGCTCTAAGATTTCAAAGGAACCAGGCTGGGTGGGCCAGGTCTCCCCTGGTCCCTAAGAGCTGACCTGAGCTGTGTCCAGTCTTAGCCTTCTTCTGTGAGATGGACTTTAGGTGATTTGTGGATATATCCAAAATGGAATTTGAGGAATGATTTGAATTTCTATAATCTCATGTTATCATCAGTTTAATTTACTTTTTGATGGTGTATAAGGTGCCTTGCAAATTTCACAAACACCTACTACCACAAACACATGCTCTAACCATTAGAGGGGTCATATTCCTTTATTCTCCAATGTGAGAAAACCACATTTGTACCTCTTTGATGATTTAATTTTATGGCCAGGCATTTAATCCTTAAAATTGGCAGTTATCAATAATCAGAGCCCATTGTAGCTGAACACTGTAATGAATCAGAATAATGAATCAGAATATTTTAATATTTAAGACAAAGCTATTCTGAGTAAGCTGCTGCATTCTGGATACACACAGTAGCCCCATCATCACATCCGTTTTCAACTGTTATCAGAATGATTTCTACCTTCCTGCTGTCATACCACACCTCCGTCATTCAACGTTTCTGATTCTTACAGATTTTGTTCAGCCTGTATCCGGATCAAGGAAAGCTCTGGCAGCTGTTGGCCTTGTCACCGCTGGAGAACTACTGTATCCAAAATCCACTCTGAGATGGCCGGCCGCCTGGCTGAGATCTGAAACGCAGGGAGACACTCACGGACGGTTGTGACTGCTGCTGAAGGCCACGGCACAGGCCACTACCATTCCCACCCACCTGAATGTTGTTTCTCCAGATGTTTGATGAGAGATGGGGTCTCAGGACAGAGGGGCGGGGAGCTCCAGGGAGACAGTGGCGGGGTTGGTGGCGGAGCTCTCCGAGCGAGGAAGGGGGAGAGCAGGGCACATTCCAGCCAGGACCTGGCTTTCCCTAGCTCCCGGATACTCCTTTCCCCCTCATCTCTTGTGCGTTCAGCGTGACCCATCTTCCAGTTCATGCCATCCTGGCTGTGTCACCCGGCTCTGGTGACTGCCACAGCACCTCCTGCTGTGCTTGCTCTGGCCGTCTCGCATGCCTCAGAATTTTTCGTCAGAAGTCATACACATCCTGTAGGATAGTAGACACAGAGGCCAGTGGTGTTTAAGCTTGGAGATGAGCATGCCTTGACTTCTGCAGGCATTAGTTGGAGGGTTCATGTAAATCTAGCAAGAATTCGGCTGTGTTGAGGTTTGCGGTTGCTGTGGCAACCTCCGGTGCACTGGACACTCAGAATTGCGGGCACCCTGCCAGCTGTCTGCTAGACCTTACTCTATGCCCACCCCTGCCACTGGGGTAAGAGCTACTTTTTTCCCCTCCTGCCTTCTCGTAGCTGCAGGAATTCCCACTGCACCCTCCGGCTGCCAGATCTGATGCACTTCCCAAGCAAATGAGGGCCTTTGCTCCTTAGGGAGGATAGAGGCAGCGGGAGAGGGTGAAGCTTGGCATCACTGGGGGATGCTTTCCCGGGATCTTCCCCGGGCTTCCTGTCTTCCTGGGGAGCGTCCGCTGGGGTTCCTGGAGGAAAAGCCTGCGAGAAGATGTGAACACCTCCATCTGTGGCTCTCAGGGGCTGCCACGCTCATGTGAGCCCACACTCGACCTTGAGCAATGTGTACATTTTCTGGTTGAATCCTGCCTGATTCCGAAGTGTGGGGCTGGCACCTGTCCCAGGGAAGCCGCCTCTCCCTACAGTCACCTGTTTTCCTCTAGATTTCAGGCGAGTTGTTTCTGCTGCAGCCTCGTTCTGGGATCAGGAGTGGGCGGTTAACTGATGTCCGCCCAGCCTTTTCTGGGTGAAAGGGTGGGAGCGCTGTTTCCCAGCTCTCCCGCGGGGGTCCAGAGCCTCTTTTGGAATGAACGTGGTCATTCAGGTGTCTGTGCATGAAGGTCCCTGAAGCCCCCGGTGCTGCTAGGGTGGCGGGCTTCCGGGGAGGGTCCTGGAGACGCGGGACCCTCTGATGGGGTGCTCTGATCAGGCCAAATATTTTTGATGATTATTATTTAAAAAGGAATTAATTTAGTTAGCTAAATGGCAAGATTTTTTTTCTTTAGTCTACTTACTTGATAGCCTCAGTGAACTGAAATTTTAGGAAACTGGCTTGCTTTCCTTGCAGTTGCTGTCATCGGTTGCGTAGCCTTGGTTTCTGTCGTCCTTCTGGCAGTCTCACTGCATCTTCCCAGGGCACCCTCTCCTCAGCGAGCGACCTGCCCAGCAACCTTCCAGAAAGGCCTGGCGCTGGAGGCTTTCTGGTGGGTGGGGGGGCCACTAGTCATGGTTTGTGCTTCCCTCTGCTCCGTGGACAGAGGCACCCACAGTTTTAGAAGCTCCCACTTCCATTGGGGTCAGGGCGGTGCTGATGTCAGCGGAGCGCGTGTGCACGTGTTTGTATTTTCTTCATCACTTTAAAACTGTGCCTGAGCCTTAAAGTATCTCTGTGTGAGAGAACCAATGAGCTGTGTGATGCTGACAGACTTTGTTTCTCATTCTTGGGCCTCGACCTCTGCATCGCTTCCCCAGGATGAAGAAAGGCAAGACGTGCCCTGTGTTCCTGGACCCCTCATGAAGTTCGCAGGACACGCCGCCCTCCTGGGCACGACTTCCCGCAGGGGGCAGGGGAGATAGAGCAGCCAGCCGCCAGGCTGACCCAGGAACCTGAAGGGGGAGGCGGGATCCTGTCCAGAAACCGTCCTCAGTGGGACTCAGGCAGGAGGGGGAGATTTCGGGGAACACTGGCACTGAACCTGATCAGTCAGTGGAGATCACAGAGGCCAGCACGACAGTTTGGGGCACCAAGATGGGACGATAGCCTCAGCCCTCTGTTCATCCCACCCGGGACCCAGGGTGCCCCCTTTATTCGAAGGCATTTTGCCGAGTTCCTTCTCGAGCAGCCTGAGTGCCCCAGGCCCACGCGGGACCCCGCGGCCTGAGTGCATCCCCGCAGGGGACAGGCCAGCTTGCCTTTCTTGGCAGGGGTGGGGATGGGTGGGGCCAGGGAGTTCTCGCCTGCTCCCTGCCTGGCCTTCGAATTTGGACGAAGAGGGAGAGAGAGCCTGGGAGAGCTGAAGGCCGCAGGGGGACGATGGGTCACCAGCCACGATGGGGGTGATTTGAGCCTCCAGCAGGCTCCTTGGAAAAGGGCAGCGTTTCCGGCGTTCCCGGCGTTCCCAGGGATTAACAGCGGTTTCTGGAAACTCACGGACCCTCTCGAAAGACCCTGAGCTTTGTGAAGGCTGCAGGCCTGAGGTCTGCTTGGGGAGGAGGGGAAGCCAGCTGGACCCCGCCCCCGACAAGGTGATTCTCAGACAAAGGGCGCGCAGTGTAGACGTGAGGTAGGAGGGGCCTCGGGCTGGTTGGAAAGGCCCAGAGCAACATCCTCAGGGCTGTCGTCTGAGCGGGGAGCTCTGAGGCCTCCTCCCGGCCCTCTGGCCTGTCCTCTGGAGGAGCCTGGGTAAGGGACACCGGGGTTGGCTGCTGTGAGGGGAGAGCTTCTGGAGAAAGCACCACTCTCCTTTAGCTGGTGAATGGCACAGCCACCTTTCTTTCGGAACCTCAGTGTCTCCCGCAGCACAGTCGGGCTGTGTGGGTTCCGTAGTTGCAGGGTCTGTTTTAGAAGCCTGTAATTGCAGCACCTGAAGTGCTTTGTCCCTGAATGGTTATCTGCGGGAGGCCTGTCAGAGGCTCCCAGGGCAACGGGCAAATGAACAGAAGCCAGCAAACTTCCACAAGCAGGTCAGTTATGGGGGCCCTCCCTTCCTTCCGCTCTCCCTTCTTTTCCTCCCTCCCTTCCTACTCTTCTTTGCTGCCTCTTCTTTCTCCTCTCCCTTTCTCTCTCCTTCCCTTCTCCCCATTCTCCCCCTTCTCTCCCTCCTTCCCCCTCCCGTCTTTCCTTTTTCCCAGGTGATGCATTTTGTATCACACCCAGCGTGGCAGCCTGGGCTCTCAGAGGATGTGGAGGAGACTGTGATTCAGAGGGGAGGAGAAAACACCGTTTCCCCACCCTCTTAGCTTCTCCAAGCAGGGCCCTGCAGAGTAGACACGAAGGACGGGTTAACAAGGAAAAGGCACACTCATGTGTTTCATATAAGTGTTGCCTGACAAGAAACAGCTGAGCTTGGGGTTCTGCTGCTAGGCTTGATGAAGAGTGGAGACTCGTGAAAGGCGTGATCGGACGAGAGCACATGAGCAAGCGCAGGAAACGGGCCAGGAGGGGCCCTGGCGAGGCCTGTCCGTTCAGGTCCCTCTTGGCCTCCCTCCATCTTTGGAGCTAAGGATGCACCCTTCCCCCGGTGTGGGGGGCACCTCTCATACGAGGGTCACGACCTGCTTCAGGGGAGTTAGGTCTGGAATGAGGGCTGAGATGTGGGCAATGGGAAAGGCAGGAAGATTGTGTTGATGGCTGAGGGCATGGGGCACCTGGGGAAACGCGTTTCTGCGCACGCTGTCAGAGGAGGGTGTGCGTCTGGCGGGCGGTGGGAACATGGGGTTCCTCCTGCCTGCTTTATGGTTCTCCTTGACACTCCCCCAGCCGTGAACCTCAGCAGCCACGGGGACTCCACGCTGCTGCAGGTGGACCTGGCCGGGGCCCTAGTGGCCGGCGGGCCCAGTCGTTCTGGGAGGGAAGAGCGCCTCCTGGTGGAGCTGACCCAGGCCGACACTTCCGGCTCCAGGTGGCGGCGGCCACAGCAGGTTATGCTGATAATTTATTTGAAAGGATTGTGAAATCTCATTTCATCTCATAATAAATTGTGTTTCCTCTTGAGTGGATTTGATGGGGAGCCACAGGCGAGGACACCCTTCTTAGTTCATTGGCTCTTCTTATCTTTTGCTTTGTCTTTGAAACTCTCTGTTTACCATTTCTCTATTTATAAAATTCTTGCCATTTCAGTAAAATCAGGCTTGCAAGTTCTTTAATCAAAACTGTTTTGCCGGGCCATTGAGGAAATATACATTTGAAATGAAAAACTTTTTTTTTGGTGTTGTAAAAGTGCAGTTAAGTCTGGGCCTTACGTCATGGTTCAGAAGACAGTTCCACAGCACATTACTGTGTTGGTGGACACCTGCCTAAGTTCTGAGCTGCTGCATCTGTGTAGGCCTGTGCGCAGCCTTGTCTCTGAGCCTTGTCAAGCCTTCATTCACATCCTGCAAAGGCAGCTGGGGAGCGGTGTCTGTCGTGGCAGCCCAGAGCCTAGACTCCAGAGGCAGGGCCCCTTCCATGCAAGCCTGGTCCCCGAGCCCTGGCCTGGGAAACTCCACTGCATTACAGAGCCTAGACTCCAGAGGTAGGGCCCCTTCCATGCAAGCCTGGCCCCCGAGCCCTGGCCTCGGAGACTCCACTCTGCATTATCACGGTGACTTCTGCGTGGAAGTCAGCCCCGGTTCATGGATGTTCCGTTATAACCAGTAGCAGGAAACCCCGCCCATGCGCAGGCTGCATCACCTGCAGTGGAGCGTGTGAGGAATGAATGCACCTTCACCTTTCCTGCCTTGCAGAGCATGGTCCACAGAGCTAAGGTCTCGTTATGAACTAGCATGCAGTATCCTGGACCATGGCTGACGCAACACCGATGTTCTGAACCGGCTGCCCTGGCCAGGGTCCTAGGATGTCAACTTGGTTCCCCGTGTGAAGAGCAGAGCCCCTTGGCAAGGGGCTCCTTGGTGATGAGCGATGGCCTTTGCCCTCTGACCTGGGCCTTGCATGGAGAAGGGCAGGACCTCACCCAGCCTGCGGTCCTGCTGCCTCCCCAGCACTTGCATATTAATAACCCAGGTTAAATGATCTGTATGGCACCTCCCTGCTCTCTGGGGTGGCCCTTCCCAACGTGCTGACCCAAAATGCCCACGGGCACCCAAAATGCCCACAGGCAAATCCAGCCCCAGAAACATGGAAACACAAGAGATCTTTACTAAAGGATTTTTCCCCCAGACACGCTCTTTGCAAACACCGAGGTACTTAAAAGAACTTCTCTCATACATATGCTTCTTTGCTTTGACCAGTTTCAGAGATCCTGTTTTCAGTGTCCGTTGTGATTTGTGGGTGAGATTCGCGTCTTCCCATTGAGGATCCCCCTCCCTCCCCAGGCTGCCTCCCTAGCTGATCACTGTCCTGTACCCCAGGGGCAAGAACATGCAAGGCAGGGAATGAAGCTTCACCCTGGGGCCCTTCCTTGCAGGGGCTCCTGTGCACAGGGGTGTGGGAGGTTTGCAGGGGGTGGGTTTGTTGCCTCCAGGTTGCAAGCAGTTGCAGAAGCAGTTCTCAGGACTCAGAGAGCTCAGAAGAGTCCTCCAAGTCTCTAGTAACTTGTAGTGATTCATTTTTTAAATTTAAAAAATTTTTATTAAAAAATTTTTAGAGTTGGGGATCTCACTCTGTTGCCCAGGCTGGAGTGCAGTGGTGTGATCACAGCTCACTGTAACTTTGAACTTCTGGGCTCACGGGATTCTCCTGCCTCCGCCCCTCAGTGGCTGGGACCACAGGCACATGCCACCAGGCCTGGCTAATTTTTAAAATTTTTTTGTGCAGACAGGGGTCTTGCTCTGTTGCCCAGGCTGATCTTGAACTCTTGGCCTCAAGTGATCTCCCACCTTGGCCTCCCAAAGTGGGATTACAGGCGTGAGCCACCGCATCTGGGCATGGTTTGTTTTTCTTGTATTAAATCACTACTTCTATGCCTTTGCACTTTTGTACACTAACGGCATTTTTTCTTTCGAATCCTTTTTCTTAAAGAAAGCTCTCCAAATTGTGGAAATTCCCAGCTCCTAACATCAGAGCTAACATAGGAGCAGTAGCTTCTAACACCAGAGATGTGAGAGCGCAAATAAAGATGCCCCCGTTTCTTTCTTTCTCCTCTTATTTGAAACAAATACCTAGAGCGAGCAGTGCCAGATCCCAGATGGTGTCTCAGGTGAAAAGCCTCACCGTAACTTTATGCTTTGGCTTGTACAGGTCACTCACAACTGGACGGTGTATTTAAATCCGAGGAGAAGCGAGCGCTCGGTGATGAGCAGGACCTTTGAGGTACTGGGCAGGTGAGTTCTCAGTGAGTGAGATGTTGGGGCAGGCTCTTCGGGACACACGCGTTTAAAGGAGTCTGACCTGCAGGACACTGAGTTTCGGCCCACGCAGCACCCGGTCAGCATGTGGCTTGGACACGGTGCTCATGCTGTGTAGACAGTGACCTCAAAGGCTGTGAGAAGGCATCGTAGCCATGGGTGTCGGGATGTAAGAGGGTTGACTGCAGAAGTCATTTTGAAGCAAATGGCAGGTTTTGGTTGATGTTCTAATTTCGTTAATATTGTGAAGCTGTACAGTGGAGAGTTCTAGAAAATTTAGGTTTCTTATTCCTTAACTAATGCTGCTTCATATTCAGTCGGTACTCTTGGTTGGTGTATTAGACAGCTAAGGCTGCCGTATCGTAGTACTACACACTGGGTGGCTTAACTGTCAGACATTTACCTTGTAATTCTAGAGGCTGGAAGTCTGAGGTCAAGGTGTCGACAGGGTCAGTTTCTCCCAAGGCCTCTCACTGGCTTACAGGTGGCCATCCCTCTGTGCCTGTCTTCTGATCTCTCCTTGTATGGACACCCATCCTACTGGATTAGGACTCATCCCCATGGCCTCATTTAACCTTCCTCACCTTTTTAAAGACCCTACGTCTACCTACAGTCCCATTTGGAGGTACTGGGGTTAGGACTTCAACCTAGGAATGGTTTTTGGAGGAAGGGGACACAATTCAGCCCATAAAACGTATTGACTGAACTTGAAAAAACGCTCTGGTGTCCGCTGCCGACCTGTGGTCGCTTGCAGGCTTCTCGTCTGGAGCGTGCCTCCTCACAGAGACTGGAGTTCAAACAGCTGGCTTTGCTCTTAGTTAGCAGGTGAAGTGGTTGGGTATGTTGGGGAGGAGGAAGAGCCAGTTCAATGACTGGCGTCTTCTGTGCAGGCCCCTACTCACTCTTCACTGTCAGGTGGTGTCACAGGGAGGCTGAGGGGCCTGCTTGGACCGGCCCGGCTTGGCCGCAGGGAGGCTGCGTCCTGTGTCTCATGCCGCTGGCCTGTGCTTACTGCTCTTCCAGCTGTGAGATCGGGCATTGGGCTGAATCGTTCTGAGATCCATTTGGATTCTGGTTAATGTCTGGCTGATATAGAGGGAGGTGCCCTAACTGTTGACCTTGTGAACAGTGAGGTTGTCGTTTCGTTCTGCAGAGAGACGGTGTCCATCAGCATCCGGGCCTCCCTCCAGCAGACCCAGGCTGTCCCTCTTTTGATGGCTTATCAGTACCTCCGCGCGAGTGTAGAAGCCCAAGTGACCATCGCCACGGCCATCCTCGCGGGCGTCTACGCGTTGATCATATTCGAGGTAACTTTCACACCTGCCCCCCCCAATCTGTCTGGGCCCACTGTCAGGGAGGCTTGAGACCTCCGACACTCTGGATGGGCTCGGTCCTGACTCCTAAATCTAACTGGACTAGTGTCATCATTCCTGAAGATTAGCATGTCCCTCTCTCTAGGTAGAAAGGGAACCATACAGGAATATTTGCTGAATCTTGGCAACTGACATGAGAAGGATGGGTTTTAGGAGCAGAAGTGTACCTGAGAAAACAGAATGT